GACTAATAACATGCAAAAAGTAGACAATTTCCCCTAACTCTTAAAATTTGTCTGGCTTTCTAACTATAAAACAAGAGCCATTACAAAATCATCTAAACTAGTCGTTAAATTTCCCATGGGAATGAACCATGTATTATAAGTAGGGATGCACACGTAGTAAAATTTGGCTAAAAATTTGTACGGGTACCCTGTCACTAAGCTTTGGCCCGGAGTCGAGTGTCAACCAGGACTGGGTCCTCCCCTAGCACCCCCCCCCAAAAAAAACAGCATACACAAAAACAAAAACAAAATTGACGTTTATTACATTTAACCAAAAATCATCAACTGAATATTCAATTTTCAATTCCTAGCCCAAACTTCTCAAACCCTAACCCTTATTGTTCTCAAAAACCACCACCTTCCCCAGAAATCCACTTCTCAAGCCGTGCCTATATTAATCCCAAACTTCAGCAGGTGGTCAGTTTTTGTTGCTCGAAACACATTTTTTTTTTAGTCTGTATTAATCCCAAACTCTCAGCAGGTGGTCAGTTTTTGTTGCTCGGAACACATTTTTTTTTAACTAAACCAATTACTGACTGTAACTTTCAGTACCCCATTAGTTGCCACAAAGATTATGGCTTAGATGCCTAACTTCGACTCTCGGCTGGAGCCGAGTATTACCAGATAGCCCAGTACCTGGCTGGGGCCGAATATCTGGCTAGGTACCCATGCATCTCTAATTATAAGTGAAATTGACACTTATCTGTTCAGAACACAACATTATACAATAAGTCATTTGAAAGAGGAAAACCTTCGCTTTCTATAGGTTATTGGTAATATATACTTAAACGTAAGAGAAAACTATTAACAAATCCTGAAAGAGATGATGTAACAGGTGGGTGTAGCAGAAGGGGTCTGATTTTCTATTTGATAGCTCTGTAACCAAACAAAATTGAAAACAATAAAAATTATGGTTTGTCTGAGCAGTTACGATTTTATAGCAAGTAATTTGCATTTAATTTCCTACTTTTTTTGAGGGGCGATGGATAAAATAGGGATGATAACATGCTAAAAGAAAATGTGTCATGTGGGTCACACTAGAGGAAATTCAAGATTTTTTTTTAATATTGCCTTGTAGAGTTAAGAACTTAAAACTTATATACTATTAAAATATGAATTATTACCTAAGATTTTATGCTATACTAATTGGTATAACATAAACAAAAAGTAGTTTAATAACATTTTTAATGTAAGGCACTAAAACCTTATGTCATGCACAGTAAAGGATACCCATAGCAATAGGGTTAACTGTACATAAGTGAAGATCAAGTATCTAAAGCAATGTCATTCAAATATCTTTTTAGCATTATTTTAATAATGAAAAGTATGCAAAAGTACAAATTTAAGGTCTTTACAAACATGATTTGGCAAAAACAGAAATCAATAAATAAAAGAAAAACTTACCAAGACAGCTAGATCATGTTCAAGTAGACTGTGCTTATTCTGATAGTCTTTCAACAGAGATAATATCTAAAAGAAATATTGATACTGACTGAAACGATGTAACGATCTAGAATGTAAATGTGTAAACATATGTATATATATGCTTGGGTAACAGTTTTTAGACTTGTGAGGCAAACACAACAATGTCAAGAGACACTTGTGAAAATATATCAAGATGCAGAGTACAAAATTAAAGCAGACAATGTCCAGAAAAATATTTAATTCCATTCTAAAAACTTCCTTGAACAATTTATTAAATAATTTTCATACAACTCTCTAAGATAATGTCAAGAAACGTTAAGCATTAGTGGTTTCTCCAAGTAGTAATATGGAACATCGTTTTTAGGATAAAATTTAGATGAAATCAATTTAAACCTTGGAAGCCATGAAACAAGTTTTATACATATACACAGATAAAAACTATGTTGATGAAACTGAAATACTCGAAACGATTAATAACGTACTTGTGAAAGTGAAATCAGTTTCTTGTTAACTTTTTTCTATTTGAAACATTTTATAATTTCATGTAAGGTTTCCTACAATTAGTTATTTCTTTCACTTTTGAACTACAGATAACTTGTTTGTATAGTTTCTGTGGTTTAGTTTTTCCTACAATTAGTTATTTCTTTCACTTTTGAACTACAGATAACTTGTTTGTATAGTTTCTGTGGTTTAGTTTTTCCTACAATTAGTTATTTCTTTCACTTTTGAACTACAGATAACTTGTTTGTATAGTTTCTGTGGTTTAGTTTTAACCAAATTTTCTGATTTCAATGTAACTTGTGAAGGAAAGTTAATTTTATACATTAAAATGTATTTTACAATTGGTTTTCTGAAATTATTCTTTGCAAAATAAAAAGATAAAGACATACAAATTCTGTCCAGCAAAATATTTACAGAGATACAATTATACTTTAACATATACGAGGCCTGTGAGAAAAGTATCCGACCTTTGGCCGGGGAATAAAAACTGGAATACCTGGAGCG